TGAGGACCCCTTGTCTTACTGAGATTTCTTGTTTAGAGATCTCACCCCACGTTTGGGGAATGCTTATTTCAGGTTCAGGTAATGTTGAGACCTCAGGCGGCAGGAGGCCGGAGCTGAGTTAGATTTGCTGTTATATTATGCTGACATGTTGGATGCTGGATATGCATGCTGCTTTATGTTTTTAGTTAGTGTTATGATTATGTTTATCTTGTTGAGACGCTGTTGATTTGGTGAGCATGAGAATTGTCCATGACACATAGACTTGTTTATGTCTTGTTTTATTTAGAGTTGTAATAATGTATCAGGATATGGTCCTACGAGTTGTAGATCCGTGATTTTAGATACACACTTTATTTATATATTGAGGTATTTCAGTAGATATCTTATTGCAATTTACATACAGGCGATATTTTATGAAATTGATTAAGTAATCAAGTTGGTAATTGATAATGACGTCATAATTGAAAAGAAAAAGAATATTCCGTATTTTTAATTAAGCACCGCTTAATACGATGTAATGATAACACTACCGGATATATACGGGGTGTTACACTATCTCTGGTACCAAATTTTATCTAATCAATTTTCTCTGCAAAAATGTGCCACATCTCACGAAATCATTGGCTACAATTCGCATGACAGTCTCATAAATTTTACTATTCACGTGACAGTTTGGTATATAAATTTCGCATGACAGTCCTAGAAGGTTTAGAATTCATGTGACAGTTTGGTATATAAATCCAAAAAAAAAAAACGTTGCACGTTGGTTACTGTTCCTATATATTAACAGGGTTGAAGCCCAGAAATAGGTCGGCCCAAGCCTGAAACGGGTTTAGGGTCCTTATTCTATTCATCCTTCTCTCTCTGTCTGTCTGTTTAGTTTTATGTAACTCATCGGAGAAATATTTGGCGGCGACACCTTTCTTCTCCAATATTGCCTCTACGGTTCTCTTTTTTGTTAGTAAGCTTTAAATATCAAACATAGAGCTGTCAAAAAACCCTGTAACCCTAGGGGCAGCCTATTAGGAACCACAAATAGCCCTGTTAAATTTAGCCCTCTTTGCTAAAGGGCCATTTTTGTCCTAACCCATTGAAGCCCTCTCATTTTGAGGGCTAGGTTGGGGCTGGCCCAAGGCCACATATATTTCATTCTTTTCACTTTGAGAAAAAAAAGAAAAGTAACAATCTTCATTTTTCGTTCTCACGCAGAGTCACAATTTCTTTCTGCCTCATTGTTGTGATTAGGTCTTGCTAGTCTCCTTCTACCTTTTGGATTTCGATTTTCGATTAAGTCTGTTGGTGCCTTTAACCATTATTTTCAGTTCTCACGCCACTCAAGCATGGCTATTTTTACTGTATCTTTTTCCTTTTTAATATATGGATCCTCAAACAGCTTGTCAAGCACGGTGTCATTCTTCTCTTCCTCGATGTTCCTCAGTACGGAATTTTCTACTATACATCGGATGTACCCACTTGGGTACATATTTTTTTCTAAAAAAGGTAAATTTTATTCCCATTTTAACCCACACTTTTATTTTTATTCCATCTCTATCCTAACATTTTTATTTTTTTGGGACCGATGCATGGTGCATCAGTAGCACCAAATGTTTGCTCCATCAATACACCCTAGTTGCCATCGATACTTAGGTTAACAATTTTCCTTTTTCTTTCTTTCTTTTTTGAAAAAAAATGGAAAAACATCGACTTAAAATTTCGAACTTTATAGCAGAGTTTCAAAACCCCGCCCCACCCCGAGGTTGACCCCTCCGGGTCATCGACCCCTTCTTTCTGAGGGTTCGAGTTAGTAGTTAGATCCTACCAGCACGTTGACCCCTCTAACCCCCGAAATCCACCGGTTGAACCCTTGACTCCCGGGTCAGAGAGGTCAAAGGGGTCACTGTATTTTTTTATAAAAAAAAATTATACACAAAATAGCATTATTTGATGTGTAAAAAAAACTCGTTATTGTCTAGAATTAGAATTAGATCTAAAATCTGAATCGTTTTTCTTCTTCTTTTTTGATCTTCTCTTCCTGACTTAGCCAGTCTTCCTGTTCCATGATCTCCTCCACCGTGCTGGTTCTTCTTTCTCCACCGTTAATTTGTCGTGTCGCCGTCTTTCCTCCGCTATTATCTATTGGGTAAGGGATATCCTTTCACATATTATTGTAGGTGCATAAGAAGAATAAGAAGGGCCTGAGTTTGATGATATAACTTTTCATTAACTTCATTGGAATATGTGTTTTATACTTTGATTAGCTTGTGAATATTGATTTGTAGATGTAATTGGCTGAATTATGTTAAGTATATTTTGAATCTTTAGTGAATGGTGGTTTGATTTTTTTGAATTTTTCATATAGAATATATATTTATTTTTTTAATGTACAAAATCGGGTCAGCGAAGTGACCCCGTGACCCCCCGGTTGAACCCGTGATCCCGTGACCCCTGGCCTCGACCGGGTCGATGATTAGATCGAGTTTTTAAACACTGTTTTATAGAATAATAAAAAATCCCTTGTCATGTGATGAAAGTGTGACGTGATAGGCATTTGTTGAAGGCGTAAATATTCACATGTATTTATCACTCGGTATATTTTTATGATTATTTATCTTAATGTATCGAAAATATACTCGTTGAAGAATGAAGACATTATTTCATGCAGTTACTACACAATTAGTCACGTGTCACAGGTCCCCCTTCCTTTTTCCTAGTAATTGTACAAACACATTGCAAAATACAAAAAATTTGCTAAAAGTGCTTCGTTACTCCATGTTAATTTTTATATTACACAGCTAGTAATGTGACACAAGTGATTTGGCTGAATAGAAAAATGTGAAAGTGACAAAAGAGACAAAGGAGGGGATGGTATTTTTTTAACAAAGCCTACATTGATTCGATAGGTGAAATTTGTGTTTGATTCGATTCATTTTTAAAATTTATGTTGTATTACGTGTCTATACACAAACATAAAATTGATTAGCATGAATTTATAAATTATTCATATAATGTGAATATGATATTGATAAAAACAACATTCATTTTATTGCTTATTTTTGTCCTTTCGCATCATGTTAACATGCACAATAATTGACATATTTTTAGTTTGACAAGTTATTTGTGTTATATTAGGTCAATTCTCGTAATAAGTGTCATATTTTGAGATTGAAAATTATTCATATTGTATTGTATTAACTCTCAAAATAAATTAATTGTGTTTGTGTCAAATATTTTAACTCATTTTTAAATTTATATCGTGTTTATGTTAAATGTATTTGTGTTGTGTCTATTATATCAACTTGAATTGTAATCACTAAAATAACAATTCATGAGGCCAGATAAACAAACCGCGAAATATAAATGAGACAAAAAGTAAATATAAAGCTCGTCTTGTTTTAAATCAAGCTTGAGTTCATTTATTTAAACAAATTAAATATAAAATATTTAACTTAATTAAAAATATACAAATTGAGCTCGATTTGTTTAGTTCATTTATAATGTGAATTTTTTTTCTGTTATCAAATATCTTGTTACTGTGGTTTTGATTTAAGGTTTTTTCTTTTTAGACCGACAGTCTATAATCTTATCATATACACGGGGCATTTTGGCGGAGCCGGACTCAAATTTGAGTTCGGGTCAAAAAATTATATGTTTATTTGTTTTTCTTAATTTTAGTTAGTTCATATCATAATATATTTAAATTATATTAAATACAGAACATCAGAGCAAGCACCACTAGGAAGAGTTATAATTTTATTAAATATTTTTTAATTTTACTAAAAATAATTTTTTTTATACAAGTGAAAATTAGACACATAACCTAATACAACTTACCCAAATATTTCACTAAAAATATTTTAAATTTTACATAGAGCCAAATTACAAATTATAGCGCGGGTCAAATTACAATTTTAATCCAGGCTAAGTTATAATTAATTATATAATTATATATAATAAATATAATTTATTAAAATTTAGCCCGAGCTGAGACCATACCCACAATACATATGGCTTCGGGGCGTATCTTGATCTAATCTAAAATTTTGTACCAAAAAATTTAACTATTTATATAATTGAGTTTAAAGTAAAGTTGATATATTGCATATGATTATATAATTATTTTTAGATTGATATATATGAATTAGTTTTTTAATTGAGTTTATTACATTGATGACTCTCATCATTACTTTGAAAAAAATAAATAAAGTAATTTAATGGAGGACTGGCCTTGCAATTTCACACCCTTCATTAATTGGTTCCATTTCAATTGAGTTCATTGATAACTATAAATTTTATAGAAACAAAATAACATACTTCACTTTTTTTTCATTTTTTTCTTTTGGTGTCATTCTGGTAAGAATTCTTAAGATGTGCTGGTTCCCGTTTGGCTTGATGGTTTGGAGAGTTTATCTTCACCCTCAAGTATTCGGTTCGAACCCAGCATAGAGAGAGAGACAGAGAATTTTATACAGTGAATACAGATAAATTATCTGCATTCATTTCTAAAATGATATTATTTTGCGTTGAAAGATTAGAAAATTATAATTATAAAGACTATTATAACCTTGAAATAGATAAATAAATTATAATTATAAAAATATCTAAAAATAATATTATTTTAAATTTAATAAAAATAACTTACCTGCCTTCGTCGTGAAAAAAATGAATTCAATTTTTAAATATTCATTTCAGACATTTTCAATGATGGTTCTCCTTAAAAGGAAAAACAAATTATTCAATGATGGTTTTCCTTAAAAGGAAAAACAAATTAAATAATTTATAAAATAGTAAAAAAAAAATAGGTGATAAGTATAACTTATTCCAATTTAATTTATAAATATCAATATTTTGTTTTCCGTTTTGACAAAAAAATCTTGGTGTGTCAATTTCCTCATGCAGGTATGTATGCAAATGCATCTTTTTTATCATCTTTGAAAGCCCAATAAATATAATTTTGTTTATGTTTAGGATTAGTATTGCAAATTTGCAATTATTATTAATTTCACTTGGCCCCGAAAAAGGAGTGGTTCTCGAACAAAACGAGCCTAGCGAACCCTCCAACGCTTTGGTTTCGAAACCCTAGATCTCACTCGGAAAACCCTTTTTGCCTTTTTGAGTTGTTTGTTGTTTCCGAATTTTATAGAGAGGATTTTGATCGATCAACAACAAGAAGGGAGGCTAGTGGTTGAACATGGATTCGAATTCACATGGAAACCTCGATGAGCAGATTTCTCAGCTCATGCAGTGCAAACCCTTGTCCGAGCAATAGGTAATCTTATTTCCCAAACCGCTTCAATTTTCTGTGCATTTTCCTTTGTTTTTTCCTGAAATGCAACGGAGGCGGCACCTTTCTTATTTCTCAGCTCATGATGTGCAAACCCTTCTCTGTCTGTCTGTCTAGTTTTATATAACTCATTGGAGAAATATTCGGCGGTGGCACCTTTCTTCTCCAATATCGCCTATACGATTCTCTTTTTTGTTAGTAAGCTTTAAATAACAAACATTTACACAATCAACTTATTCATGAAATGATGGACATGGGGTTTATTGTTTAGTGTCTCTCTGCTGAAAATTATTGTTTCCATTGATAATTTATTTTTATTTGAATTTTTTTAGTAGCTATATAAGCACCCACATAAAAATAATGCCCTGATTTTATTTATTTATTTATTTGTCCTCAGATTATGCTCTTGCTCAGTCTTAAATAATGTCTTCCAAGAGAGCCTCTGCCTCACTAGGTACCATTAGTTCTCTTTTGAAGTTGTGTTGCTCACGAAACGTTTCGGATTGTATCAAATGCTTTAATACGTTAAGGGCTATTAGCACTGCTGCTGAAAGTTCGAATTTTCAGTTTTATGGGGGTTATCAAACAGATGATTCTGTGGGTTACCAGCAAAAAAACCCTGCTGATTATGTTGCTCAATCAAATTCAAGTCGGTCTTATGGGAATAATCAAGCTAGTGCAGGTGAAGGTCATATGAATTTCACCTCAAATGGAGTGCAGAACAATTTGGTAGGAGATAAAGGAGGTGTTGATGGGTACCCTGGTCCGAGCAACACAAGAATGCAACAGAAAGTTTGGGTAGGTGTTGATAATTCTAGGGGATTTGGGATGCATCCGAATGTGTTTGTTGAGAAACATAATTGGACACAAGAACCTGAACAAAGGATGCAGGATCCCAATTCATATAGTTCACCTCGGCCTCTAGATTATTATGGAAATGTTAATCAAAACATTGATGGTTTTCAGCAGTCACCAACTGATTATTACTCTGGGAGTAATGAAATGCGGCAACAATACTCAGGTTCTGGACAATTTCAGCAGAGTCGAAAAGATGGTTGGTATCCTCCAAACTTGAATAGTGTGCAGAGATCAATGGTTGACTCTCATTCTTCAATTAATACGAATCCTGATGGCAAATCAGCTGAGGCATCTGACGGTAGTCCATATAGAGGTACAATTAAGGAACTAGATACTTACTGCATGGAGGGTCAAGTGAAGGAAGCAGTTGAAGTTTTGAAATTGTTGGAAAAGTTGCACATTCCTGTGGACTTGCCTCGTTATTTACAATTAATGCACCAATGTAGGGAGGCTAAATCTCTTGAAGAGGCAAAAATTGTACACAGTTATGCTTTACGACATCTGTCACCTCTCGAAGTCAGCACATACAATAGAATATTGGAGATGTATTTAGAATGTGGTTCTCTAGATGATGCGCTCAAGGTGTTCAATGATATGCCAGAGCGCAATTTGACTACTTGGGATACTATGATAACACATCTCGCTAAGAATGGGTATGCGGAGGATTCAATTGACCTATTTACACAATTTAAAAACTTGGGACTGAAACCTGATGGTCAGATGTTTATTGGTGTTTTTTCTGCATGTAGTATGCTGGGAGATATTGACGAGGGAATGCTGCACTTTGAATCCATGAGCAAGGATTATGGCATCATACCATCTATGGCTCATTTTGTCAGTATAGTAGACATGATTGGCAGTGTTGGGCATCTTGATGAAGCCTTTGCATTCATTGAAAAGATGCCAATGGAGCCAAGTGCTGATGTATGGGAGACTTTGATGAATCTTTGTAGAGTTCATGGTAGCACTGAGCTAGGGGATCTTTGTGCTGAACTAGTTGAGCAGCTAGATCCTTCTCGCCTAAATGAGCAATCAAAGGCTGGCCTTGTACCTGTAAAAACTTCAGACTTGACAAAAGAGAAAGAAAAGAATAAATTAGGAACAAAAAAACTTCTTGAAGTAAGGAGCCGAGTCCATGAATATCGAGCAGGAGATACTTCTCATCCTGAAAATGATAAGATATATGCTCTGCTTAGAGGTATGAAGTCACAAATGAAAGAAGCTGGCTATATTCCGGAGACGAAATTTGTGTTGCATGACATAGACCAGGAAGGCAAAGAAGAAGCTCTTCTTGCGCACAGTGAGAGACTTGCTGTTGGTTATGGTCTCCTTAGCAGTCCTGCTCGCTCTCGTATCACCGTAATTAAGAACCTCCGTGTTTGTGGTGATTGCCATACTGCACTGAAGATTATTTCTAAGCTTGTGGGCAGGGAACTCGTCATTCGAGATGCTAAAAGGTTCCACCATTTTAAAGACGGTCTATGCTCCTGCCGCGATTATTGGTGAACACGAACTTAGGTACTGTCGTTTTTTAATTGTTATTCCTCTTTGTTACTCATTTCATAAGTATTTATATTGAATCTAAATTAGCTGCAATTTGTGCGAGCAAATTTTTATATTGCAGATGTAGTTAAGCTCAAGTTATATGAAACAAATCATACACTCTTTGCTTCTCATCCCCATGTTTGATATGCAGTATTGTGTGGTTAGTTATTTAGAGTATTTACAATTATGAAGTTTTCTGATACAACCCAAACAACCAAATACAGATTTAACCAAGAACAACAGAGAAATAAGGGAAACATTAAGTATTCCTTTTCTTCATCCAAATGAACTATAAACGGAGACAATTTAAAGGACACTTATGGGAAAATTTACAAGGTACTGGAAAAAAAAAGAAATAACAAGTGCAGAAATGGTAAAGGATATTTGTGAGACAATTGGAGAGGCCTCACCCTCTCCGAGGTTCCAATCCAACAATATTCCAGATGCCTTCCTCAAGCACCCCACCACTCCTCTTAACCTCTTTCCCGTAACCAACTACCCATTCTGTTAGAGGGTAACTTGGTCATCACACTCACTTGAGCTAATCACATTACATGTGCCAACACCCATAGCAGCAGTATTACTCAGGTCCATACCCTCTCTTGGACCAATCTGTGCATTTGAAGTCCAGTATATCCTATTTTTATCTCTCTTGTATACTTTCCATTGTGGGTTCGTATCATTTTCCAGTAAGGGTGTGTTTGGAATTTGGATAAGCTTTGAAAAAAAGTGTTCTTATAATACAGTTTTTTTTTTAAACTTATCAGAAAAGCATTAAAACTACTATTTTTGGGGGGAGTTTGCTTCTTTTCAAAAAACTTATCATTATAAAATATTTTAAACTTGTTTTTTAACTAAAAACCACAGTTTTCTTTTAAAAAGTATAAACAAACAAGTTGAAAAAGTCCAAGCTAGAGGCACTTTCTTCCAACTGTACTTTTCCTGTGCTGCTGGGGGGAGGGGGGAAGGAGTGCTTGACAGGTACATCTCCAATTGATGCTGCTAATATATCCTTATTCTATTTTCAAGATAGATTGAAATGGGTTTTTGAATTTTCCTTTTGCAATTCCATACTTACGCTAATAATAAAAAATGGAGCAGAGGCCATTAAATTCATTAAAACAAATGTCAAGTATTAAATCCCAAATTTGGATCCTCCTTCTTTTTCTTAAGAATAGGATGGTGTCCTCTTATGTGATAGAAAAAAAAAATGATTCTATGTAAAACTGGTGGACCCTTGCATAGTAATGTTGGGTCCCTCCACAATACAATTTCTCTCTCTCTCTCTCTCTCACACACACACACACAGTAGGACACTGCATTATTCTTAAGGAAATTGAAAGGATATAAATCGTTGCATGCCATGTATAAAGAGATTGTTCAACTGGCAATTGGACATTGATTACCATTCAGCCTGATCACCATTTCAATCCCAGGCAAATGCTTGATAACTTAAATTTGTTTTACTTGAAAGAATTCTAAACAAGCATGTCCTGTGTTTTGTTGTAAAGCACTAAAGACATTACTTGAGGGCATTGAAAGCTGTTTGCAAGATTTGTGGCTTTGAGCACATTATTTGTTTGTCAGTTTGCAATATGATGTTAATGTGGCTTTTACTTTAATGTTGTTTTCACCCGTCTTGTTTGGCATTTTGATATATATATATATATATATATATATATATATATATATATATATATATTTGTTGACAATGTTACGAACCAAAATTAGACTAGTCTCACAACAATCTTGTTATGCAGGTGTATCGGGACTTCCAAGATGGATTGAATAGCATGGCTGTTTGTAATAACCCCTCAAAGCCTAATTATAGGAAAATTATTTATATATCTCATGGTCATTAAAAACAATCTTTATACCCACGAGGAGATTGGAATTTTGTTTAACCAGGCTCTTTCTCGTTATGGGGTATATAAATCAAGCAGTTGGGTATGCATTCACGTTGCAGAAGTGTTATTCTTTTGGAGCTGTTTGATATAATTGATTGTGGTAGCTTCCATGTAAGATATAAATGACTATTGCACTCCATATCAGGGAGAAGTTGATGTAATTGATAGATATAACATTGACGTTCAATGTTATAATTTCAGATAAATTTTTTAGACTGTCATTTCTTCATTTAACTCAAACTCGAAATGACATTATTTTACAGGCAAAATCACTTGTTTGTCTGGTTCATCTCTTCTTGGTGTCAAAGTTCTAGATGGTATGTGAATCAACCTTAAAGTTTCCTGCTGGATATATATGGTGGCAGTTTTGTTTAGACTTTTGCAAGCACAATTTGAGGCATTTTCTGATTGTAATTCTTGCTCAAAATTTTTACAGATGCAAGGGCAATTGGTTTTGGAAATTAAAGGATCAAATTCATCAAGATTTGACATGGTTTTAAAAACTTCTAACTTCATTCACAGTTAGGCTAAATTTGAGTTTTTATTTCTATGCAAAATGGCTCAATGAATTTCCCCCGAAAATGAAGGAACATCAATGCAGAAACAAAACCCACAACATAATTTCATGTTTACATCCACTAGTCGAAGTAATTTTAAAAAATTATAAAGCTTTTAAAGTAACAAACCCTAAAATTTCAAAACTAAAATTCTCCTTGAATACTATATGAAAATGCACATATTATATATGAGAAAAATTATTCTCATGTTATATGAGATTGGTGTTTACTTTTACACACCCTTTGATATTTTTTTATTTTATTTATTTTTTCAGGTGGTGGGGCTCATATATTTGTCTCTGACATAAGATAACTTATCTCCTTTATCAAGATATTAATAACACCCATTATGCATTATTGGAAAGCTCTTGATATGAAAGAAAAATTCCAAGGTTTTCAATTCAATCGAACGGAAAAAAAAAAAGTTCATGAAATAACACAAACAATATTCAATCTTATGAGAATTTTTTTCCAATTTCTTGATTTCAATCAACAATATGGATTCTATAATCATATCCATAAGATAATTTTGGCATTAAAAGATGTTAAGAAACATTGGATGAGCATGGCCTATTGATTTATTTATCAAAATCAAGTCAATAAAGTGAGCTTCTAATTGGGTATTTTGAAGAACCCTAAGATTTCATAAATGTGATTCAAGAACAAAATTCCCTTTGTAATGGGCACAATTTGATTCAATTTTTGTGTCAAATGAACACCTATAACTTGTTTTCCAAAAAATAAATTTGAAAAAAATTCAAGACTATGAAGTATATAACCCTAGAACTTCAAATCGAAATTACTCTTTGAATTTTCAACGAAAATATTAATATGATATATGGTCAGAAAGCTATCGTTACTTAGAACAAAAGTCCTAAGGTTTTCAGGATTAATTGCAAAATATCTACATCATGTTTTGATTTTATACTTGAAATTTCAAAAAAATAAAAATAAAAAATTAATACTGAAAATCACGGGTCTTATAATCATACATGCAGGCTCTCATACCAAATATAAGAAATTTTAGATAAAAATTTATCCATAGAATCGATGCCTATATCCTTAATAAAAAAATCACATAAATAACCAAAGTTCAAAAATAAGGAATACCTAATTGAGCCATCTGATCTACTGAATAAACTTGAGTGATGGTTGTTCCTGCTGTTAAGATCTTCCTCTCTATGACCTATACAGGATGAAGCAACCTTTCTTTCGATAGGAACATGACACCTATTAGGGTATAACCCTACTGTATAGGCTACAAAGGGGACCTAGAATAACTCGATGGGTCCACTCTTCATAAAAGTCCAATCAGATACCAATGTCTATACTGTGTTGCCCAATTTGGCCCAATATGAATAGATGTCAAAAGTCCTAACTCAATATGATCATAATGAGCTTATCATACAATAAATTAGAATACTTATTAACCCGATTAATTCTGAAAACATAAAACATTAATTTATATTGTCCAGGTAAAATTTCTAACATTATACACTTGAATATTTTTGATTTAGGAAAGGATTTTGGGTTTATTTGCAAATTGAATAAGTAACCACTTTATCAGTTATTCAACTTCCTCGTAGCTTTGTATATCATTTAATAGACAATAAATAAACACTAGCAATTTAGTGATGGTTTCATATTGGTCTGGCCTGAGTTTATTGTATAATAAGCTTGGTTTCAGAAAACATGAAGCTGGAAGAATCATGGTGTGTGGCAATAGAGATCATGTCAGTCTTCAAGTAATCATCAATAAATGGTGTCTGTCGATTCTCACTTCACTTTGTTTCCATGAGCCACGAAACAAAAAGTTTCATACCACTTCTCATCATCACTTTCTAATTCTGTATAGGGTTTCACTTTTCTACTGTTGCTAGACATAGTTATCTCCGGTTTTAAAAAAACAACTATGTACTTTCGGAAGTATATAGTTGTAATCAAAAAATTACTTTTTCTTTCTCCACTACATCAGCCGACAATTCTGAGGAGAGAGAAAATTTTTTGCAGCTTTAAAAATAATACAATGTACTTCCGGGAGTACATTGTGTTACTTTTAAAACTGCAGATAACTTTCTTCCTGCAACAAAAGAAAATGATTTTCCTTCTATATATGGGTATTATCATGTTAATGAGGTGGGGCTTTTTTTTCTGAACACATTTCTCATCATCTCTTGAATTACTCCATAACTTCTTCTCTAATTTCACTTGCTTTTCTCTCATACGAATTCCCTTCTCCTAAGACCTCTTATTTCACAACATTTTATCAGCACAACTAGCTCTGTAATCTTGTTCAAAACCCATAGCTTTCTACAAAATAAAAGTAAAAATAAAAAATTCTTGCAATAATTTTCTTTTTAAAAAAAACCTCCTAAAAAATAAAGGAACAACCTTTTTGTTTACAAGGTCATACATTCTTTCTTTTTATTCTTCTTCTACCACTTTTTTTTTCTTTTTAATCTTAAATTTGAAATAACCCTCTATCCCTGAAGCAACAATAAGTTCTTGCTTTCGAAATAACAGTGTCATGGAAAACATTGAAAAGTCCAACTTCCACATCCTAAAATTGAGGGGTAACAATTACCTGTCTTGATGTCTGAACATGGAGATACACCTTCAAGGGTAAGGCCTCACCATATTTTTGGACTTTAATAAATTAATTATGGGATAAGACATTAGTATGATGATTTAGTTTGAGTAATAGGAATACTGTCCGTTAAGGTCTAAATAGTTATTATATAATAAAGTATTTATTTATTTGACTTATTTATTATATAATAAATACAAATATTAGAAATATTATCTTTAGCATAATTTTTTTCGCTAATCTCTCCTTCTTCTTTTCCTTTTTATTTGAACATAAATATTTTAGTTATGTGCCATTTTTCTTCTTTTTTCCTAAATATTTTTTCCTTTGCTTTCTGATCTGGACCTATTATACATAAGATAGAGGCTCAATTGTACCAAGGCCCAAACTCACCCCTGCAACATAGCCTAAAAAGCAGACCATCTCGCCAAAGAGGCATGAATCTCGCTAAGGCACTTGGCCATCATGTCAACATAACTTAACCTGAAAGGATCCATCATTGTCAAGGTTAGCAGCTCAAGCAAGTTAGCCACCATCAGGAACAAGTAAAAGGAAGGCAGCTCCTGCTTGCCATCATGTCTATAAAAATTACTCTGAACATAGGCTTACCCACTAAGAAATAGCTTGAGAGAGGTCACTAAACACTGCCTCATGAAAGACGTTGATAAACACGGCGATTAAGCACAATAAATACAGAGGCCATTGACCCAGTATGATATCTTTCTTGAATACTTGAACATCCTTGGATATTAAACTGACTTGAGCATCGGAGTACCTTTGCAGGAACCCTCAGTCGCTTTCATACTACCTAGAGAAGCAAAATTGTTGCTCAACCATCTCGCCTAGCTTCCAAGCATCCCAGCAACAACTTGTTAATATTTCATTCTCTTCATCGACATCCTCTACCTTCAACCGTGTGTGGTTAGACCCAGCCCAATTGATGTTGGACTGATCACTTTCTTTTTAGAAAATTACTCTCTTTAAATTTTGTTCCCCATTATTCCCTTTATCTTTTTGTTTCGTATTGGAATAGAAAAACTTATTAAGTCCAAGATATTTTATGTTAGAGAAATATAGAATAATTAATTAAGTCTCACCTAATGTGTTAAGGTTTTGGGTTGAATTAATTTATTTTATGAAAGTGGAACAATTATTTTATTGATGTGAATTTCACACAGAAGATATGATGATTTGAACGATGCATCATTGAATAAATTGATACCTGCACCAAATGATGGTAGCTCAGTTGACGCATGAAAGCTGAGCAAGTGAGGGTGAGAGCATGTGTTCGATCCTCCTTAGTTCCATCTTTGGGAGGGGTTTAAAGTCTTAATCTTGGACCTGCCCCGAACAAGATTGCCTCCCATGGAGGATTGAAATATATCATCTAATGTGAAAAAAAATATGACATGGTCATATGGGAAGATAACAATCATACAAAAGTTAATCAACGGTTAAGATTTTGTAACTATCTATTTCACTATATTTTTTTTTCTCTCCTCCTTTATTACCATTAATCCATCTTTGTATGATTATGATTCCCACATAATCATATCATATTCTTTTTAATATGTGAGGATCCAGATCCGGTGATACCCGTAATTTATCCTAAAATAAATAAATTAATTGATACGTGCGCAATCAGGGGCGGAACTGAATTGAGCGGCATGAAAGAAAGTGATTACACCCAAAATCTTACACGTGAATACTGCTGGAAAAATAATGCTATAAATCACGAGAAGATAAAATGTGTTTAAAAATTTATTTCAAAAAATATGCATTCAATAATATAAATTAAAGCATAGCAAGGATAAATAGATTAATATAAGAAAAAGGGAAAATCCGAGTTTGGTGATATTATATCGTTATAACAATTTTCTTATTTTTTTCTCTCTTTTTTTTTTTTAGTACATGAGATTCATAGACAATAATTCTTGTGATGACAATCCCACCTCATCAAATGCCAAAGAGAAAACAAAAGAAAAAAAATAAAAATAAAACAGAGTCAATCTAGCAACAATAAACTTGTAAATTCTGAAAATTAAGAAGCTAAAGTAAATTTAGACTGTGACAGAAAAAATAAAACATTATCATAGATTTAATGTGGGATTTTGGTCCCCCTGGAACTTATTCAACCCCTATTATATCCATCATCTATCAATTGAGAAAACTTTCGGTACAATCGTTGTACCTTCATCCATGAACGAAAACTTTATAAGACTTATAGGAAAATATAAAGAAAAGTATGGGTTAAAATAAAATAAAAAAATCAATTTAATAAAATTGAGAATCGAACTTGGTACTCCAGCTCCATTGAAGAAATTTCCCAATTTGTGCCTTTTTTATCCTCC